ATCTTTTGGAAAATAGTGTAACAAATCAGCATTGATAAGGAATTTGTTGAGTAATTCTGCACCTGCTTGAAGATCCGCTGATTGTGTTGAGCGCATGATGTGGTGAACTTTCTGTATCAGACGTTCCACCACCTTTCTTCTTTTTCGAAAAAGCCTTGGTTAGTGAGGAGCGGATCTAAAGAAAAAACAGTATTTCAAATCCAGCGTTACCATATATAACCACAAGGGCTACAATATACATTACAGTACTATACACATCACGACGAATAGGTTACCTGAACATCTACTCCATTTGTCTAAAGAAGATAAATTTCAGATTGTAAAGATGATCAAGGATGAGAAAAGATTAATTGATTATAAAATATACAAAGTTGCAGCTATTTTTCTTCATATCAAACGATACATTATTGAAAACTTGCATGTAGATTTTGAACTTGTATTTTTTATGCCAATTTTTTCAAGGTTGTATAAATCACGTACCCAGCTTTTCTTCGACTTTCCAAAACTATTCAGGCTGCTTTTATCCGTTCGACTTGATTTACTTGATGATGACATCGAGGACCGATGACTGGCCATTGAAGCTACAGATTCCAAAGAAGGCTGTCTAAGCAATTCTCCGGCTCCTTCCTAGAATCACAATTTTTTGAAAAACTCGAGGAGTGAGTGATTTTGCGAAAATTTACTCACAATGCTTTTCTTCGCGTCTCCACCTTGAGCAAGTCGACCACTGACAAGGCGTAGTTGGTCTATCTCCTGGCGAAGCTTGTTCAGATCGTCGGGCTAAAAATAGACAATTTTTTTGCAGTATTTCAAAGGTACATAGTGAAAATGATGTAAAACATGTATAATCATGAACGTAAATAGGAATGCAATTGAGTGCGGAAAGTGCAAGAGATGGCTTGATTTAGTACATTCCAAATTGTCTTGCGAAAATTATTGCAGTTTGTGAGGGAAGACACTAAAAATCACTAGCACTTTAGATAATGGGTCCGCTTGTAGGTAAAGGTGACACGCAGAAGCCAAGACGTATTTACTAAATGACCACTACTAGTAGAAGCAGTCAATCCGATAGACATACGGAGCTTTGTCATTCAAGATTTCTGAGATAAGCCGGACGGACCCTTTGCGGAGTGAATTGTCAATAGTAGCAGATAAAGGTTTAAGATTA